GGGCCTGGGAGACCCGGGCGCCAGGCAGTGCCCATCAGGCAGCCAGCAGAGCCCGCCTCTCTGGGCTGCTCCGGGGCACCTCTGCCCCAGGCACCAGAATGAGTGTGGGACAAGGGCCCATCCTTAGTTTCAGGAAAATAAACAGCCTCCAAGGAAGAATTCAGAAATAAAACTTGACCTGACCAGAGGGGAACTTCTTCCGCTATTGGAAGCAGGTCCGTTCTGGCCCAGTGAGCCCTGGCGTCAACCCCCTGGAGGAGAGGACCAGGGAGGGCAGTGGGGTGGGAGGAGGGCCTGGCCTGACTGCTCGTGAGGGTCCTGCCACTTCCTGGGCCCTCCCTCCTCGTCTCCCAGCAGCCAGCCCCCCTCCCAAAACAACTAGCAGGGAACGAAAGGCCTCAGTTGATTCCCAGGGAGCTGGCTGGTGTCAGTGACAGGGCCCGTGGCAGATGGCAAGTTTTGCTTGTTGTAGATGAGTGAAAAATAATTAGCGTGAGAACGAGAAGCTGGAGCCTCGGTGATAAATGGAGCCCTGACCAGGGCTCATCGGGAGGGGCTGAGAGCACAGACTGGAGCCCCGCGGCCTGGCTCTGTCTCTCACTAGCTGAGTGACTTTGGGAAAGTTACTTTACTTCTCTGGGCCTGTTTCCTCATCCATAAAATGATAACATTTACCTCATAGGGTTGTTAAAAGAATGACGTTAAAGTGGGTAACATCTGAGAATTGCTCTTTACCATATATAATAAATGCTATGTAAGAATTTTTTAAAAAATAACAGGTGATAGAATAATTGTTGGAGCTGTTTCTGCATCCAGCCCAGCATGGCATCCAGCAGTTGGAGCCATTCCTTTTCATCCTCTTCCTCGAACTCTCTGCCTGGCCCTGAGATTGCTCTTCCGTAGGGAGGGGCTCTGGCCATCAAGCCTGTCGATGTGGAGAGAACACAGCAGAAAGACGTGGCTTCAGAGCCAGACTTGGCACCTCACTCATTGGGTTGTTTAACCTCAGAGCCTCGGTTTCCCCATCTGTGACATGAGACCAGCTGTACCCACCTTCGGGCTTGTAGTGAGGGGCATAGGAGGCACCTCCCCTGGTCCTTCAAAGTGGCCCTGGCTGGGAGGGTGGGGAAGGTGCTTGTGAGTCTGAGACCCTGGGGGCGGAGGGGAGTGGCCGTGGCGTCCCCCTCCTGCCCCCGGCCACACCAGGCACACTGTTTCAGTCCCTGAGCCTGGGTGCGTGAGGAACCCGGCCTCAGCCCTGGGCAGACTCAGCTCTGCCTTCTGCTCCTGCACAGCTGACGTGTGAAAAGCAACAGCTTTCAGGCCAGTAGCTTGGGTTGTGCACACCCGGGCACAGGCTGGCAGTGCACGTGGCCCCCAACCCACGCACGTGCTCTCTCTGTCGCCTCCCTCACCGCCCTTCCCCTTCCTGTGGTCCTGGAGACCAACCTCTGTGTGGGGCCACAGGCCAGGGAAGGAGAAGGGACTTGCCCGGTGGAGGGAACATGTGGGTCTTTGTGTCTGTGTGCGTGGGAATGAGGACCCGGACTGACGGGCAGAGATTTTTTCTTTTCAAGTAACTCAAGGAGGCTGCTTTGAAATACCAGCCCTGCCCCGTCCTTGTCGTGGGATCTTCAGGAATTGTGCCTCTCTGACCTTGGTCTCTTCATCTGTAAAGCTGGGGTAATGCCCCTATGACCTGATGAGGCTTCTAGCTCTGGGCCCATAGCCCCCTCACTTTCAGGCAGCCCGTGGAACTCCCCTGGGCTCAGTCTTCCTCATCTGCAGAGTGGGGTCGATACCCGCAGTCTCCCCGTGGTGGCGTGACCACAAGCCTGGAGCCAGAGGAAGACCCACAGAGCTCTTTGTGATCCCTAACGCCATGGCTCTTCATTCCATAGGGGGCATCAGAAGCCTGCTCCTGGGTTCAAAAACAGGCATTTAGCTGAATCCTGCTCCTCAGAAGCAGTGGTTAAGACACAGGCCCTGGAACTAGGCTGTGTGACCCAGGGCAATTCACTTCACCTCATCTGTAAAATACAGTAATAGCAGTGCCTGCCTCACAGAGTTATTATAAGGATTAAGTGAGTTATGTTTGCAAAGGGCTCAGATGAGGCCCAGGATGTGGTAGGTAACTGACAGGTGCTAGAGGACTTAAGGTGGGCTGAGCTGGGACCGCCCTGCAGCCTCTTGAAGTGATTCTGGTTACTATGTGTTGATCCCCTCCCTGTGTGGGTGCTCCCTCATATAAGCCTCACCAGCCAGCAGGGAGGCTAACTAGCTCTGTAGCCAGAGAGTGGCCACAGCTGAGAAGTGGAGGGGCCAGGATTTGACCACCCCTGGAGCCAGTGCTCTGGGCACGACTAAAGAGGGCGGGCGCTGTCTACCAGCCCACTTAGGCCAGAAGGGAGCCCGTTCGTGAGCCCACCCCGCTGAGACAGAGCATCTGGGGCCAGCACTCGCCCTGCAGGCTGCCTGGGGCCCAGCCTCACTGCAGTCAGGCCCCCAAGTCAGATACCCACCTCAGGAAGACAAGCTCCAGTGCCCAACACAGAAACACTTGGGAACCAGACAGACCCCAAGGGCCTAGCTAGCAGCAGTTTCCTCTCACTGTGTTTGGAACACATTCTAACTTCAAAGCCCTTTCACACAGGGAATCCCACTCATTATAGGAAAGGGAGTCCTGGGCCCTCTCCTCAGGACTCCAAAGACCACAGCACCTTGCGGAACTAAAAGAGTCCTTACAGACTGCCTGATTTCCCTTTTTACTTTGGCCACCAGGAAGCATGGAATGTACTGATAGTTTTACACGTAGCTCCTGTGGGGGCCGTTGTGTCTTGCACATGTACAACCATTTCCCCAATCTTCTATTTTAATGTACTTAGTTTTTGTTCTGAAGATTTTTACATTTATATTCCACCTTTTCATTGCTTGTGGTTCCCGTATAGACACATGCAGCTGTTGCTGATACAAGTAAATATTAACAAATACAAAAATACTAGCCTCCCCTTAGTCCAGGTTCTTTATTCTTCAGGAGAGGCAACCAAGGCCTGAAGGAGTGGTGAATTTCTGGCCTGGGGATGCTGCCCTGGGTCTGGGGCTGGCAGCTTGAGAATGTGGCTGGACCTAGCCCAGTCACCAGCCTCAACAGGCAGGGCTAAACGGGGTCCAGGGAAAGTGGGCCTGGGGCTGAGGTCTCCTCTCCTTTGCCAGCCCAGCTGCGGAGCAGTGGGGTCCCCACCCACTGGGAGGTGGAGAGGTAGCCACAGATGACTCTGCCTGAAACCGTACAGGTGATTGATGCCTTCTTGTGGATTGATTGCCAGCGAGGGAGTTCATGTGGATTTTGCCAGCTTCCAAGGGGGTTATGCATCAAGAGTGTGAAAGAGAAGATCTCAGCCCAGGCTCCCCGGAGAAACACTCTGCTAATGGGACTGTCTCTTGGGGAGTTCAAGAACAGCATGCTGTGAGGTGGGAGAAGGGAACTGTGGGACAGTTTGTCTAGCACCTGCTGGGATGGACAGATAGGGAAAGCTGGAGTCTCTGGGGCCTTTCTGAACCTCAGTTTTCTTACCCATAAAAGGGGGCTCCAGGACTGTTTGCATGGCCCCTTCTAACCCTGACATTCCTGCATTAAGTGTGGGCTTTGGATAGCACTGGACTCCTGCCTGCTCAGCCTCCTGCTCCTTGGAAGCTGCGGGGCAGAGTCTCTGAGCCCCAGCCTCCTCATTCTTCAATAGAAATCATAGTGGAAGAGCTACATTCACTGAGCACCTACTCTGTGATAGGTGTGGGCTTAAGTGTGTGACTCATTTAACCCTGTGACAATTCTGAGCTAGGTACTGTTCTTAGCCCCATTTTAGAAATAAGGAACTGAGCGGCACAGAGAGGTTAAATAACTTGTCCAAGGTCACACAGCCAGTAAGTGCAGGGCCAGGACCTAGACACAGCCTGATTTTTAGAGCATGTGGACTGAGGGTGACGCTGTCAACCTGCATCGCTGCTGTGAGGCTGGCAGGTGGACTTGGAACAAGGGAGGTGCTCGCCAATGTCAGATGTATCCCTGTGGCCTGGGTCTGGTTGTCATCCCTTCCTCCAGGCTCAGCTTCCAGCCCATCCTTGGGCCTGGATGCACAAGGCCACCCCTGCCAGGTGGGACACCTCATGAACTGACCTAGAGGCTGGAGGTGACACTGGATGGGCCTCCTATATCACATCATCCTTTCCCTGTGATTCAGCCTGATTCTGGTGCCCTGGCCCCACTGCCAGCAAGCAGGGTGACCTCCTGTCTCCCACTAGCCCCGAGCTGGAACTCTCTGTGACCTCCCTTCCCTGAAAGCTCTCAGCACTGACCTGCTGGGACCTACTGCCGAGGGCACTGCTCCCTGAAGCCTGCTCCCAGGGCCAAGCCCAAGGGGACCTTAGGATCAGGGGGAGAAGGCCCAGCCCTGGCTCTTTAAATAGCAGCCCCCTAAGGCCCATGGCAGGGGAAGGTTACCCTGTCAGGGCTTTGATCTGCCCAGGCCAGCCCTTTCTGATCAGCTGGAGCCAATCATGCAATCAGCAACACCTGCCCAAACCCCAGCACCCATCCCAGATCACCCTGCCATGAAGTCCCCAGAAGCCCCACTGATATGATGGCCCCCACGAGGAGAGGCCTGGGGTCCACCGGGACCTATGCAGATCTCTGTGACATCATCCCAGTCAGCTCTTGCTGCAGCCTTCTGAGGGAGTGGTGTTGTCCCCATTTTGCAGCTGAGGAAAAAGCCCTAGAGTACTTAAGATAGCTAGAGAAGCTGGTCCTCTGAAAGCGGCCAGGGAGCGTGGGGGCGGGGTGGGGAACATTTCCCCAAGAGGGAAGGATTTGAGCTACGAGAGGAAGGAACTGTGTCTCCAGTCTTATGACAGCTGCTTCAGGGGGATGGAGTGGTGGTTTGGAGGGACCGGGGCTGCTGCGGGGACGGGGGCGGGGGCCTATGCTCACACTCCAGGGCAAGAGAGTGGGTGTGAAGATCAGCAGCGCTGCAAGACCCCAGCCCTCCAGGACTCTCGGCTGAGCTGGGGCAGGGATGGGCAGCAAAGAATCAATAAGTTTACACTAACGCAATGTGCCCAGGGCTACCCTGGGGGAGGCATCCAGGGGGCCCATTAGGGAACAGCCAGTTCTGCGTGAGAAGGGTAGGGGGTGCTGTCAAGGAGGGTTTCAAATAGGTGATGACTTTTGGTTGGCCTTGAAAGATGAGTGGGATTTTGTCTGGCAGAGGAACTGAGGTAGACAGAGCACAGATTCCAGTGAGGTGTTTTAGGGAGTAGCAGTTTGGTAGGGTCGGGAGGAGGATGGGGCAGTGTGAGAAGGGGCTGGAGTACTTCTCTAGCCAGAAGAAGGCCCTGAGCCTGTCTGTGCCCGGGATCCCCAGGGGTTGGGGAGGGTCTTCCTGCTCCCAGACTCAGAGAGGGCAAGGCACTTGCCCAAGGTTGCACAGCCCGCCTACCAGTTACTGAGGCCCTTAGCTACTGCCTGAGAGGTCTGGACTTTACCCTGCAGACCATGGGAGCCATGAAAGGTTTTTAAAGTAGGAATCAGCATGTGCATTTTAGAAAACAATTTTGCATTTTTGGGAAGTGGAACTCTGAGAATGGTTAATGCTTAACTCAAGGGCCTGAATCACCATCAAGGATACTGGGCTTTGTGGATAGAGGAAGAAAGGGGCCCTGTAGTACCACTCAAGTCATCCCATCCATGTGGGGGGGTGTCCTGGCACCCCATTCACACCTGCCTGGGCTGGCGGCCCAGCCAGGGCATAGGGAGCGCCCAGCAGTGCCCCTGTTCTCCCCTACTGAAGGGGGGGGTGCCACACCTCCCCTGGGAGGACCACTGATCTGGGTAGGGAAGCTATGTGCGCCCCCACTGAGGTTGTTGGAGGGCACAGACCCTGTGCCCTGGGGGAGGAGAGCCAGAGGAGGTGCTTTGTGGCAGCCCCAGACCAGGAAATAGCCTCTGCCCTCCCCCATCCTGAGACATTTCCTCCAGATGAAATCACATCCCCAGCAGGGGAACAGGCCCCCATTGTGAAGGGCTGGGGTCTCGAGAGAAAGGGCGTCTTTCAGGCCCTTAAAAATAGCAGCCCTGAGATTTATGAATCTACATGGAATAGAGTGGCCCACTCTCCCCCAGAGCAGCACAGGCCCTGTCACCCCCATCCCACACCGTGACCTGGCAGTGACCAGCTGGAGAGTCCTCTAGCCCAGACCAGGGAGGGGCAGCTGATCTGCCGGGTTCACATGCTCTCCCTCTGCTTAGCCCACCAGAGCTAAGACTGTCACTGGCTTTGTCCAGGCCTGTAACGGAGCACCTGGTGGGGTCAGCCTAAGGGAACCCTGCCACATGATCGAAGTGGGACTGGCACTGACCACGGCTGTTGGCTGATCACTCCCTGAGCTGGGGGGCAGAGGCTGCCACTGGCCGTTTCACGCTGGTGTCTTAACAGACCTTCAGCCACCTCTGCAGGGCTGGGTGCCAGGATCCCCCTACTTCTCCCACCTGAGAGCAGGGAGGGTGGGGCCGTGTGCACACGTGGGGCTTTGTGTGATATTGTGAGGTGGATGGTACATGTGAACTGTGAGAGTTTTAGCCATTCTAGACTCCAAGAGGTGAAGGGCAGAGGGAGAGGAGATGGTTGGGAAGGGCTGTCCGCGGAGCATCCCTGAGAACAAGCTCTTCTGGGCTCCTCTGGGACGGCCCTCCCCTTCCTCTGCCGGGGTCTGGCCTGATTAGAGTGGGATGCGGAGCTACAGCACCTTCTGGGACCTCGCAGTCGTTTCATTTGTGTGAGGGGCCCCCGAGCCCAACCCAGCATTCTGAGGTAACCTCCGTGGGCCACCTGGAGATGGGGAGGGGCTGTAGGAGCTGGTGGCTGACATACCAGCTGTTGGCAGCTCTGTCCTTCCGCAGCCCTGCTGCCACCCACGGAGCCCCAGCCCCTCCCTTCCCCTCCGTCCTTTCAAACATAGCCAGTGCCGTCAGCCACTTGTCACAGACATACAGCTGGAGCCCTAGCCCCCTGTAGTCCCAGACCCCCACCCCCGGACACCCCACCATGCAGCTCTGCGCCCGCTCCATCCTTCTCCCGCTTCCCAGAATCCGTGCTCCGACTCCTCCTTGGAGAGAGTGGGATGATGTCACTTCCTGAGGGTGGGGGGAGGAGTAGGCACGACCCCAGCAGGCTAGCCCGCCGGCCCGCCCGCCAGGCCGCCACCTCGCTGGGAGCAGCCTGGCAGCGGCTGGATGAAGTGGCTGCACCAGGGAAAGGGCGACAGAGACGGGCTGGACTGGACGTGCCGGCTGGCCACCAGACCCCAAACCCCCTCGCCCACCCTGAGGGCCATCCCACCGGTCGGGGGAGACTTGGCCACTTCCCAAGTGATGCCGGTCTCCGCAGACACTCTTTTTCCCTGGAGCCGTCACCGGGGAGAGGAGGACTTGCTGCCTACCCTTGGACCAGATGCCATGTAAGCCTCTGCCAGCCTGGGGGCAGCTGCCCACCAGTGCCCAGCCTCCTGCAGCAGGGGTTCCTCTACACAGTTCAGCTCAGAGCTACTCTAGAGCCCCTCATGGGTGTCTACCCCCGGCCACCACCACTGCCGTTGTTTCTGGGACTCTAGGGTGTGGGGACTGGGGGGTTCCTGGGCCCTCCTCCCTGAGCTTGCCTGTGGATAATTTGAATTCGGCTACTTCAGAGAGTTGGGATCGGGGCAGTGAAGGCTGCATGGCTCAGGGTGGGTGTGGGAGGGATGGTTGCCAAGAGAATGGGATACCCCCAGGGCTTGCCCGCTGCCCTTCCGGCAGAGGGGCTGAGCACCCCAGCCATGCTCTTGAACTTGTGTCTCAGCCATGTCCTTCCTTACCAAGAGGCATCGCTGTGGTTGGGAATTCTGTCTGATGGGTGCAAAATCAAGTCATAGAGTGACTTGATTTCCAGCATTCTAGCAAAGCAAGCAGTGGAAGACCTCATGCAACACAGATTTACTGAGTACCTACTATGTGCTGGGAACTCCCATCCCCCATATTTTCCAGCCCCAGGCATGCCCTTATCCCCACCCTCCCCAAGACCTTCAGCCTTCCACCTGCCCTGCTGGCCTCACACCAGGGGACAACTCAGGCTTGGTCTGGGAAGCACCCACCTCACCCCAAGGACTGCGTACACTGGGCAGGGGCTCCCCTGATCCCATGGAGGACGAGGCAAGGATGAACCCAGGTCTTTAATGATGCTGAGCAATTCCTGTTGGGGTAGCCCCTGGCAGAGCTGATCCCAAGGGGCATGTGCCAGTATGGGGGACAGGAGAGTCCTCAAGGGTAGGGGTAAGGCTGAAGCCAGTGTCTGGCTGCTGCAGTTTTTGATGTTGGCTCTGGGGGTGGATCCTGCGGGAGGTGGGTCTGCCCAGGAAGGGTCAGGAAGCCCCTGGGCTGTAGGGCCTGGGGGAGACGCCTGTGCCGCTGGGCACACCCAGCAAGGCATGTGGCGACCCTGGGTGCCTCAGTGGCCTAGGCAGCCACAGGGTCTGCTCTGTCTCAGGAGGTGAGCGCCAGGCCCGCTGAGCCTCCGCAGAGCTGCCAGCCATGCCCGGGATTGTGGTGTTCCGGCGACGCTGGTCAGTGGGCAGCGATGACCTCGTCCTGCCAGCCATCTTCCTCTTCCTCCTGCACACCACATGGTGAGTCTTATGCCCATGTCACAGGCCTGGAAGAAGGCCTTCTGATCATCTGTCCCAACGCCATCATGTGCCCAGCTCCCAGGAGTCAGTGTTGAACCATCCACCGCTTAGGGCGATACCCACATGGAGACCCCACCCGGCCACTGCTGGACCTGACACCAGCGCTGGGCGGAGCTGCTGTGCTGCCTGCCCACGGCTGGTGGCTGGACTCACTGCTCTTGCTACCCTGTCCCTGGATACCTGTGTCCTCAGAGGGACTCACTGCCAGGTGGACAGTGGTCCTGGGCCCGGAGCAGTGAGGCCCTCACCTCCCCCCGCTGGGAGGTGGGCCGTGGGAGGTGCGCAGGCTGCCTGGCTCCGCTCACGTGTGCATTCCCCCAGGTTTGTGATCCTGTCCGTGGTGCTCTTCGGCCTGGTCTACAACCCGAACGAGGCCTGCTCCCTGAACCTGGTGGACCACGGCCGCGGCTACCTGGGCATTTTGCTGAGCTGCATGATTGCAGAGATGGCCATCATCTGGCTGAGCATGCGCGGGGGCATCCTCTACACGGAGCCCCGAGAATCCATGCAGTATGTGCTCTACGTGCGCCTGGGTAAGGGCCACCTGCCATGGGTGAGGGTCTGCTCTGGCCTACCCCAATCCTCACCCTTCTCCTGTGCCCAACATTCACTCAGCCACATGTGATGTGCGAGGCCCAGCGCCAGCACCCGGGTCCAGAATGGAACAGGCAGGTTTACTGGGCTCACTTCCAGACCAGGGGTGGGCGGACTGCGACCTGAGAGCCAAGTCCAGCCTGCCATCTGTTTGTGTAAATAAAGTTTTATTGGAACCCAGCCATACTCATTCGTTTACGCACTTAACCACCTCTGGCTGCTTTTGAACGACCACAGCAGAGCAGAGTATGGACAGAGAGTATGACCCACAGAATCTAAAACGTTTATTCTCTGGCCCTTTACAGAAGGAGTTTGCCGACCCCTGCTGTAGGCCGTGCACATCTCTGGCTGCTTGTGATCCTTCCCCAAACAGCCCCCCGCCTTCCCTGGGAAGCTCCCCAGGGGCCTCAACCAGCTCCTGCAGGGCCCGCCTGTGTTTTCTTCCTGGGCTCGGGTTCAGCCCATCCTCCAGGGCACTCCCAGTGAGCACTCCTCCTGTGCTGAGCCCTTTTCCCATGTTAACTCAGGGAGGAGTCTTTATTGGTCTCATATTGCAGATGAAGAATTTGGGGCCCAGGGAGGTTAATTAGCTCCCTTAAAGTCACACAGCTGATAAGTGTGCAAATGTCAGAGCTGAGATTTGAACTCAGGTTGTCTGGCTCCAAAGCCTGGGCTCTCACCTGCCACACGGGGCCTGTGGAGCTGGGGCTTTTAACGCTGTCCCCTGAGGGGGGCCATCAGTTCTCCCACCCACTTCCCCAAGCCCCATCTCAGCCTGAGTAGGGCACCGTGGGCAGCTAGCTGCTGGGACCCCTTCCTCCTCCTGCCTTGTGCTGGAGGCTTCCTCCTGAAATGAACACTCTGTCACCCCATTCTTGCACAGCCCTGTACCACGGACCTTGTCACTCCCATTTTACAGATGAGGAAACGGAGGCTCAGACAGATTAGGTAACTTGCCTAAGATACATCCGATTCCAGAGTTCGTGGATATAACTAATTCTAATTCCTGAAAGAATAGAAATGCCTCTTCGCCATCGCCTTTGCAGTCACCTTCTTGGGGAGGCATCAGGGGCTTGAAGGTACATGAGCCAGAACAGGTGATGGGCACCTTACAGCAGAACAGAGTGGTGGTGGGACAGCCATGCCCTCTGGGCCCTCTGTACCAGCAGGCCTGTGAGGGGTTCCATGAGGGGTCTGGTGACCCTGCTGCTGAGCTGGCCGGGGGCCCTGTGGCAGGAGGGGCCAGGCCAAGGCTCTAGGGCCTTTCCTGGGCAGCCGGCAGCTGTCCTTCAGCCAGGGCCCTGCTCTCCTTGCAGCCATCCTGGTGATCGAGTTTATCTACGCCATCGTGGGCATCGTCTGGCTCACTCAGTACTACACCTCCTGCAATGACCTCACTGCCAAGAACGTCACGCTTGGTACGTTGGTCAGCCCTGGGGTGGAGGGGGTGGGTCAGGTTAGAGAGGGCAGACGCTCAGGCCCTGAGAGAGAGAAACAGTTTCTGTGAGGGTGCCAGCAGGTTGGTAGGGTGAGGCTGCAGCCTTCATCCTGTGGTCTGCCATCCCCCATTGGGGGACCCTGGTCTGGGGGGCAGCAGCAGGCACAGAGCTGCCCGGGACTCTGGAAACCTACACAGCAATCTTCTCTGTGCCAGGGATGGACCTTGGGGTCACAGCTCAGCCAGGGGACCCCAGGCCATGCAGCCAGAGGCTGGAGCCAGGGGCTTTGGGGCTTTGGGGCTTTTCTCTTGGGCCCCAGAAGCAGTTGGGGGTAGGGAGGCCCCAGTGCCCCTTTCTTCAGAGCCAGAGAGGTGTCCCCAGGACCATGACCCTTCACTTCCCAACGCTGCCCCCACAGGGATGGTCGTCTGCAATTGGGTGGTCATCCTTAGTGTCTGCATCACTGTCCTCTGCGTCTTCGACCCCACGGGCCGCACCTTCGTCAAGCTGAGGGCCACCAAGAGGAGGCAGCGCAACCTGCGGACCTACAACCTGCGGTCAGTCGGCCGGGCAGGTGGGCCGTCCCCTGGCGGGGTTCGCTGACTGGTGGGTGGAGGCCAGCTTTGTGCCTCCCTCACTGTGTCTCAACCTGTGTGAACCACAGGCGTTGGCCAAAGTCTGACCTCAATTTCCTGGTCTATAAAGTGGGGACCACCATGGTTTCTGCCTCATGCTGCCTCTGTGAGACTTAATAGGGTGGTTAACATGGTACTCACATGAGGTTCGTGCTCAGCCAGTGGTAGCCTTTGTCATTGTCATCATCTTCAGTGCCAATAACAGCACAATGATAGTAACAGTAGGACGCATGTGTACAGCAAGCCGGAAGTGCATTTATTAACTTGGAGTAACTCCCTAAAGTAGCTGTTAATATCATCCCCATAATACAGATGAGGAAACTGGGGCACAGAGAGGCTCTGTGACTTGCCTGAGGTCACACAGCTGGGAAATGGTGGGGCTGGGATCAAGCCCAGGCAGTCTGGCTTTAGAGCCCTTGCTTTTAACCACTAGGTGAGGCTGCCTCTAGTATTAAGGGGCTGGAGGAGCTTAATCAAGGAGGGCTTCCTGGAGGGAGGAGGTTTGCACAGTGTTTTGGAGAAGGGGAAAGGCTATGCCCTGGTAAAGAAAATGAGACCAGGCATGGGCACAGAGTTCCTGTATATTGAAAAAAGAGAGGAGGAGCTTCCAGGGTGGGTCACCATGACTCCTGTTAATCAAGCTTCTGTTCTGGGTTAGACCCTGCCCTGAGCCCTTTCCATGATCTGTCTGTTTAATCCTTTTGCTAACCCTGGTGTGGTTGTGAGACCCATTCCACAGCTGAGGAGTCCAAGTCCTGGAGAGGCCACCCTGCCCGAGGAGTGCAAGCTCATCTGGCACTCCATCTCCAGCCCAGGGCAGTGGAGTCGGGAGCTCTCAGCCAGGGCAGTAGCTTGCCCAGGACCCCACCCCATCCTCCTGTACCCTTCTGGCTGGTTCCTCTGGGCCCCCGATGTCAGCTTGGCAATGCAGCCAGAGCCACACCTGGGCTGAGGCTGGCCACCTCCCGGCCCCAAATGCCAGACCCCAGAGCTCATTGTTCCCCCCAGTGCAGCTGGCCGCCACCACCCGTCCCATTTTGCACATTCTGAGCACATGCCCCCCCGACCCAGTTTCTGGGCTCCTGGGGCCCTGGAAAAAAATCTTCCCTCCTCAACTCTGGGTAATTGCCTTTGGGACCCAGGGCAGCCAGTGCCTTTGCAGTTGGGAGTTGGCGGTGGCTGTCATCTGAATTAGAAAGTTTTCCAGCAGTTCCGGGCCCTGTACGGGTAGTTAAGAAGCCTCAGAGCTCACACGGCCCCACCTGCTGTGGTTTCTCCAGCTCTCAGGTGGGCTTGGGAGGGTAGGCTGGGCCACTGTGACCACCTCTCGGCTGTTCCCCACTCGGCCTCCCTCTGCTCTGAAACCGCAGTTTTTCTAACCAGGGAATTTTAAGCCTACCGACCCTTTATCCACCTCCAGGTTTGGGGATGCGCACAAGCCTTTCTGTCACACTGACGGGTTATTTTAGTTTCTGGGAGTCAGGGAGCCATTTAAGTCCTTGGCACTTTCTCCTTCCAGTCAAATCTGGTGGGGTTTGGAGATGGGTTAGTCCCACCACTACTCCTTGGGAGCCTTGACCTTGGATCTTTGCGGGAGCCCCAGGGTAGTAGGGTGCCGAGTCCATGAACTTCCGGCCTACATTTAGAGTCTCTCCCTGTCTCGGTCTCTATAGCCTAACCAATGCATTAGGCTAAACGTGTCATCAGCGCCATCCGTCCCCTGGTGGGCACAAAGGGTACTGCAGTAGGGTATACAGTCAGCTCTTCCATCAGCCACAGGGAAGGGAAGAAATTCTCTTTGAATGTTTGATAGCCAATTTGGTTAGAAAGGGTTAAAGAACATAATGCTCTGGGAACCCAGCTTGGCCTTTGTTAAGCCTCCAGTAGGTGGGACATTGGTTTAGGATGCAAGGCTGCCTAAGTCCCTCAGGGCTGGCTGGTCCCAGAAACAGAATTCCCGCGCATCCTTCCCTAAGCCCCTCCTGTAGCCCTGGAAGGCCCTGTGGTTTTCCCTGTCCTTGTGGCCCACAGCCCGTGGGACCAGGGTTGGGAGCAGGAAGTAGCCCTTAGCTGCAGAGAGGAGCCAAGAGGCTTGGGAGGAGGGCCTGGCCTGTCACTCCTGATGGATGCTAAGTGCCTTGCAGGCATTGAGGGTCACCCGTGCCTGCCCCTCCTCACCACCCAGCACCAGGATCTGAAGGGGCTGGCGGGAAGGTACATGTCAGAAAAGCAAGCCAGCCCCTTCTTGCTTTGTCTGTAAGTTTACATTTTTAATGTTGGATCTGCTATCTTTATGCTCAAAACAGACCGGCTTATGGACACCCACCACTGGAAGGGCCTCTGTGGATAACTGGCCAATTGCTCTCCCTTTGGGTGTAGATTCCTGGATACCCTGACACCCTCAGAACAGCCAGAACAAACAGGGGCCAGACATGCAGATGAAGGGCAGGGGCCCTCTCCCCTCTGGACAGAGGAACAGATCCAGGAAGTTTCGAAATGCAGAGCCTCATTCAGCCCCTTAAACTTCCCCAAGTACAGGGAATGTGAGCGTCTGAAATCCTTTCAGGGGAAGCAGGTCTGTCTAACAGGTCTGCTCCAGGCCTTGGAACAAGCTGGAAGAGAGGCCCCGTACCTGGCTGCCATCTCCTAGGGCTCTTGGTTTGAGCCTGTGGACACATGGGCCACACTCAGAACAGCCTTTAATTTGGGCTCCCAGGTCTGAAGCCCCCAGGTCATGCTGGTGTCAGTCTCCCAGAAGCCGGGAGCACAGGCCCCGGCCTTAGCCAACAGTGTGCCACCTTAGGCCAGCAGGAGTGCCCAGGAGAGACCTGCTGGCTGACAGCCAGGTCACTGGCCACCCAGAATAGGCTGGGCCCAGGCCTATTCTCCCCTAGACTCCTCCTGCTGGGGAGCCCTTTGGTGGGGTCCTGGGAACAGGCTGACCTGTTTCCATAACGTCTTGGCCCAGCTCTTCTGGTCCAGCCCTCTGACCTCACACATACCAATTCTTCCCCACTGCAGGCACCGCTTAGAAGAGGGTCAGGCCACCAGCTGGTCACGCCGGCTCAAAGTGTTCCTCTGCTGCACACGGACAAAGGACTCCCAGTCAGTAAGTACTGGCAAGCCGCTGTCCTCGGGCTCACGTCTTGCTGTTGGTGACTCAGGAGCCTTTGCTCCCTGGCAGAGCAGGTGGGGCAGGGCTGGGTTTTGAGCAGGAGCAAGGTGACAGCCTGCTCCTATGAGGACCTATTATTATTCACTGAACGACTCCCTCCAGCATGTGAAACAGCCAACCCTTTGCTTCGTCAACAGAAAAATATGAAGGCCTTTTATCAACCCCCTTGGAACTGAGAGTTTAGTTTAGGAGAAGAGAAACTCAAACATCAGGGCCACCTGAAGACAAAGGAAAGCAGCGTCACCAGCTGCAGGTCACTCTGGAAGATCTGTTGGAACCATGTGGCCCTCGATGTGACAGGCAGCTCTCCACACCAGGCGCTCTGGGGAGTAACTAGAGGGGCTGGACTTGGTGCCAGGGCACCTTGGAGGGAAGGCGGGGTCAGCAGTGGGTGGCCCCCGGGTGAGGGGAGGGGAGGCAGGGCCCTCAGGGCTGGCAGGGCCCTTAGAGATCATCGAGTCCCACCCCTCATTTTGCAGATCAGGCAGCTGAGGCCCAGAGAGGTGGAGTGACTTGCTCCGCGCCCCACAGCTAGTTAGTGGCAGTGAGGTCAGGAGACCACTCCTCCCCGAGCCAGAGAGCAAGTGCCCTCCATGGAAGCCACCGGAAGCCTTGAGTGGCCCCTTCCCACCAGAAGTCCCTGGTGAGCTGTAGAGTGAGTAATCAAGTGTGAGACAGCCTCCCCCAACCCCCGGAGGTTCCCTGGCGGGCGGGGAGCACCCCCACGGGGCTCTCTGGGGGGGCCTGAGGGGTCTCAGCCCAGGGCCTGCTGAGGGCACACCCACCCTCCTGCAGGCGGTGTTGGGGCTGGTGTTGGCGTCTTTTCCTGAAAGGCAAGGGGGCCTCAGCAAACACTGGTGGCCAGGGAGGGAAAGGGTGGTCAGGCCAGGTCCCATCCAGAGCATACCCTGATCAGCTTGTGCTGTGTTGCTTTAAAAACTTGAATTGGATGCTAACATTTAAAAATCAGGGGCATTTATGCAAAGTTCAGTATATCTCAATTTGGCCCGGGTGGGCTGCTCGCAGCAGTGGCTGGCTCTGTTTGGCCCCATTAAGTGGTTGAGTTTGCAGCCCTGGATTTTTCTGCTCTTACAAGTGCCAGACACTCAAGGGTGAAACCCAGCAAGAGGGAACCAGTTGCCATGAGTTTGTTCCCACCACAGCCTCTCCTGACAGGTTAGGGAAGAGGTTCCAGACTTCAACTTGTTGCGAGGCAGGAAGGACTGCACACCGGCTGGCAGGGCTGCCTCTGTCTGCCTTGCCTCCTGCCCGCAGGCCCCAGGCACGGCTGTCCTGAGGACAGAGCTTGCAGGGTAGCCAGGGGGACCACTGGCCCAGTGTTGCACCCTTCTCCAGGCACACGGTGGGGGTCCTGAGTCGGCCACTAAAGTCAGGTCGGGGAGGGGGTCTGAGACCTAGGGCTCTGTAAAGTCCTTGGGGGCTGTTCAAGGTCACAGCTGGTGGGAAGTGGAAAGAGGCGCAACACAGGGAAGAAGCAGCCAGGAGCTTGGTTTTGGCTTCTCTGCTAGAGAAAAAGGCTGGAGGAGAAACAGGCTGGCCGTGCAGGCCTTGATTGGGGAAGGAACAGGAAATGGCTCGCAGTGGCCTCTGCACATGGTAGACAGATGGTGTGAGTGCCATCAGAACTCCAGGGACAGGAGGGCTGGGAGATGGAGGACGGAGAAGGGTCAGTGCTGTCCCAGACTGCTCCTGCCAGGTCTGCCAGGTCCCAGAGCCTAGGACAGGGCCCTCAGGGTCATGAAGGAGAGGGGTGAATCTACACACGGGACCCAGAGCACACACCCAGCCCCGGGGCCTTCATGCCTGGTCTCTCATCCTCTCTCCTGCTCCCCTGCCACTGCCGCCTGCCTCCCTGGACCTCATAGGACGCCTACTCGGAAATCGCCTACCTCTTTGCCGAGTTTTTCCGAGACCTCGACATTGTGCCGTCTGACATCATCGCGGGCCTGGTGCTGCTCCGGCAGCGGCAGCGGGCCAAGCGCAACGCCGTGCTGGATGAGGTGAGCATCAGCTGCCCTCGGGCAACCTCCTGCACCGTCCTCCTCCCGGGCCCTCCCTGCTGCCCCCCAGGTCCCACACAATCCCTCAGGCCCTGTAGGTCACCCTTTGATGCCCCCTCCCCTCCCTTCCCCAGCACATCCCTTCAGCCAGCAGTTCATGGCTCTTCCCTCTGCTGGGCCGCCTGCGGCTGCCTCCAGGGCCACAAGGGACTTCTAATCACAGGGACCTAATGAACCATCCAGCTCCAAGCTCCAGCCTCCGCTCTTGTTACTCCACCCCACCCCGCCGACACACCAGTCCTAGTTGGGGTCTCCCAGCATTACACACAAAATGTTTTCTCCTGGCCTGGGCAAGCATCGCCCACCAAGAGTTGATGCTTTGGGTGGAAGGGGAGCAACTGGAAATATGAGGAGACCTCAGATTTTGGAAGACTGGCCAGGCTGTGGAGGAGCTGGAAGCCACATGCCCCTTTGGGCTCTCAGGCCCTGGGGAAGCAGGCAGAGTGCAGAGCCGGGGGCCTGGACCTCGTTCTCAGCCACGCAGCTGGGCCTCGGGCAGCCACTCTCACGCACCTGTTTTATAGGCCAACAACGACATCTTGGCCTTCCTGTCTGGGATGCCAGTGACCAGAAACACCAAGTACCTCGACCTGAAGAACTCGGTGAGTCGGGGCCACCCCCAACTCTGCCCACGGACCCTCTCGCCCTCTGCCAGGATGACCCAAGCCAGCTCCCTACCCGCTGCCCTCACGGTGTCAGCAGCACCTTCTTCGCGGTGGGTCACCCCTCGGCTCTCCAGGCGGCCCCTCTTCTCAGTCCACACACTCTTCCTCCCGAAGCCCCTCCCCCACATCGCACTAGTTCTCCAGACAAAAATCCCTGAATCTGCTTCACTGTGCTCAGAATATTTGGTCCTGGCCTCCTGAGATCACAGAGGGCTTTGCAGGGGTGAGCTGCCATTGTTTTGCCAAGTTGCTGTTGTAAACCGCAGCTGGACCAGCACTGTGGTTTCTGAGCTCTTTTGAGTGGTAGAACCTCTTCTCCAGTGTGTATGTGTAGGTAAAGGAGGGGCCGGTCCTGGGGCCGGGGGAGCCCTCACCCAGGGCTGCAGCTGCAGTCTGCAGCCCGGAGAGCCAGCCCTGCTTGGGAGCAAACCGGTTTCGTGTGCATCAGCTCCGCGCCTGTGACTGTCACCTTGAGCAAGTCCCTGACCCCTCAGAGCCTGTTCCGCAGTATAAATGGTGCTGGGCACACCTTCCACCCAGAACGCTGGTGGAAGGGGGGAGCCATCCCGAGCCCAGTTCCCAGCAGAGTGCTAGCCAACAGTGGTGCCAGTCAGATGCTGCTAGAAACGATTCATCCTTCACATCTGAATCCCCTGGAAAAGCCTGTTCTCCGCCTGCCCCCACTCCCCACAGCAGGTGTTTATATCCCCTCTTAAAACAGCCCATCCATAGCAGGTCCATCCCAGCTGCCCAGGGCTACCCAGCTCGCTCTCACCACCTCCTCCCTTGCCTGGGGAGGGGGCAGGGGAGGAGCCATGCCTCGGGGGCCTGGGGTCCCCGCCTGCCACCTGGCAGAGGCTGCCAGCACCCCACCCTCCACCCTGAGCCAGAGCGGATAATTACCTTCTCTGGCACGTTCCTGAAGAGCAGACCCAGGGACGTTCAGCCCTCTGGGCCCTGATTAGGTGCTACTTACTTCACTTCACAAGATGACTAATCGCCCTCTTTAACTTTTACAAGGTGACTAATTTCCTCTAAGTACAGGAGTCCCCCGGTGCCTCGGGCACCTGGGACTCTGGAAGCCGCTTTGCTGGGATGCCTGTTTCTCCCACCTCCTTCCAGCCATCTGGCTGATAACAGCCACTGGCCTGAGACACAGGGCTTCAAACTGGCACCTTTCCCAGAGAGATCCCAATCTCCCCCAGACGCCCTTGTGAGCCTGTGACTCCCCGAGTCTCGCTTAGGCCTTCCTGAGGGTAGGCGGCTTACCTGACTGGTCCCCTAGCGTATCAGTGTCTCCAGACTGGCCCTGCTGCTGGTGGCCTGGTCACCCCCTCCGGAGGGTCCGGTCCTCTCAGGGTTAAATGCCCTTCCCAGGACCTGATTGCTGAGGTGGGTGGGTGACTGTTGCTCCCCCCTCCCTCCTCTTCCCTTCTGGGGAAAACGGGCAGGGAAATCGATCCAGTGCTCTGAGTGTTTTTCTGTCCCCAAATCATTAATTCTGAGATCGGAGCAACAGTACAGGTCTCGGGAGGATTCGTGCCCTGGTTGCATGGAGATAATAAGGAAAATGCAGTTATCACCTGGAGGAGCGGCCCGTCCTCCAGGGCAGGGGGTGCGGGGTGGTCAGCAGCCTGGGAGAAGGGCAGCTCCCTCCTCCACCAAGGGCAGCCTGTGGGTCTGCGGCTGCAGGTGGGAAGGGCAAGAGGTGACCCTCTGCCTCCTCTCTTCCAGCAAGAGATGCTCCGCTACAAAGAGGTCTGCTACTACATGCTCTTCGCCCTGGCTGCCTACGGGTGGCCCATGTACCTGATGCGGAAGCCAGCCTGCGGCCTCTGCCAGCTGGCCCGGTCCTGCTCGTGAGTGCCCCGTCCTGTCCCCCCGCCGGCCAGCTGTGCAGAGGGCCTTCCCAGGGGAGCTCTCCATAAAGGGACTGTGCCTCCTGCCCTGCCCCCGCCTCCCTGTGGCCTGCCTTGCTTCTCTTCTGCACCATCTCTGGGCCTCGACCTTTCTAGCTCTGTGTTATCCCCAGGCAGGGAAGAGCGTGGGCTTTGGAATCACACAATATTAGGTTTGAATCCATGCTTTGTCACTTGGGAAATTCAGTCTACCTCTGCCAGCCTCCGTTTCCTTATCTGTAAAATGGGGGTGGTGAAACATCCCTCCCAGAGCTGTTTGGAGAGGACTGAAGGGGATACTGCCCAGCATCTGACTGTGCAGGTCCCCTTCCCTTCCCAACTCTCTCCCCGCCCCTCTCAACTGCTCCCCTCTGCCCACATCTTCCCTTCTCCCAGCTTCCCTCTAGGACTCTGCCTTTCTGGAAGAAAGGCCTTTCCTAGTAGAGGCCCAATCCATAGAAGCCTCGAGAAGGGCAGTAAGAAGGTCCTTTGTGCAAGGCTCCAACCCTCTTCGCAGGGAGTTGGCAAGGCCTCCGCCGGATGCCGCCCTCAGCCCGCTGCTGGGGCCGGGATGGAATCAGCTTTCCTGAGTGGGCCAGAGTGGGGCCCGCTCCAGGAGGGCCCCTCGCTATCTTTGGTGTCTCCACCATCTGCCCAGACCGAGCAGCAGGAGGACAGCTCCCTGGGCTCCCAGTTCCAGAAAGGCTGGCACTCTGAGTGGGCAGCTTCTGTCCGCGACACCCCCGCCCTTGGGGCCCAAAGTAGCCACCCACTCCTGCAGCGTCCTTTCCACAGAAAGCTGGGGGCTCTCGGGCCCATTCTCACCACCCCTCAGCGACCGACAGAGCTGAGCAGGGCACCCCATGCCCCACCCCATCTCTGCCAGCCTGCACACAGCTGGCTTCCCCCAGCATCCTTGGGAGCCCCTGCAGCAGCTGAGAGGCTTCTCCCAGGAGTACTGGCTCAGGAGTCCTGAGACCTGGGCTCTGACAGTCCTGCTCCACCACTCACTGCAGATGCCATTTGTACAGATAGTGTCTGTCCTGCCTGCCTGTGGGTTACTTTAGAAACCAGGGAATCACTGGCAGCCTGGGCATTGAAGATGCTCTGCAGACCAGAGGGAGGCTGCGTTTGTAGGACCTTAGACCCTGTGAGGGCCCAGCCAGCTCCCTGCCTAGAAGAGTCAGGTGCTTGGAGGGCAGCGAGAAGGCAGGCCTGAAGTCCCGGCCTGCAGCTAAGGGTGGAGGCCAGAGGGCTGGGCCCCCGTTTCCAAATCCCAGCCTGTCCGCAGCAGCCCAGGCTCCCAGGACTGGCTGGAGGAAGGAGGGATGCCCGCCCACCTCAGGCCCGAGCCCTTCACCTACAGTGCTTCTCCAGCCCCACATAGAGCATGGCAAGCTGGGCCTGCCCACGACCCCACCACCCTGGGGTGACCTCACTCGGCTCCAGCCCTGCTCTGGACGTGTGGTTTGTCTCCTGTGGGCAAGAGAGGCCCTGCCATAGTCCAGGAGGATACTCAAGCTCCCATGGCCTCTGAGCCCCTCGCCACCCCAGCCTCCTCTCAGCAGGCAGGCTGGCCTCGAAGGTGCTGTGGGCCCCTCCCCTCCAGGCTGCTGGCCCTGCTGCGGCTGTAGGTTCCTCAGGCCCTCAGACCACTGGCTCAGAGGCAGCCCTCTCCCTGGAGAGAGGGAGCACTGTTCATTGGGAGCCTGTTGTATGCCAGGAGCTTTCTGCATCTTGGGCCTTTGATCTCACACCAGCCTTGTGGAGTAGCTGTCAGCACCTGCCCCCCAGGGCCTTGCAATTAGGAAGGGACACCAGAGCAAGGATTCAAGCCCAGGTCTCTCTCCGAAGGCCACACTGTGGCAGCCATGTGCTCAGTCCCAGAGGCTGGGGCTGAGGTTGGAGAGGGGACACAGCTGCCTAAAAACAGAAGCCTGGCCCGCTGATCCAGGCCTGTCCTCACCTGGCCCGGCAGCGGTGGGGGTGGCGGGTGGAGGGGGCTCCCAGTGTAAATGGAAGTGGTTGCCCACCCCAGGCCCAGTTGTTTCTGAGACTTGGCTCAACCCTGGGTTTTCTCAGAGAGGCCTCTCCCCATTGGGAGGTATGTGACAGTCCCTAAGGTACTTCTCGAGTGAAGACAAACCTCTCAGCATCACGGAAATCTAGGATTCTTAGTAAAATCTTGGCTGTCAAGTCAAGAAAGCCGGCAGAAGTGCGGTCACGCGCTCTCCGGGCTCCAGGGCCCCATTTGTTGGGTGCTGGCTCCCTCTGGTGGCATGAGCAGCAGCTGCACCCATTCATTTCTGGGAAACCTGCTATGTGCCTGGCACTGTTTTTGGTGTTGGGGCCATAACTGAACCAAGCAGAGCAAACCCTGCCCCATGGAGCCCACCACCTGGTGGGGCGGCAGAGACAAGGAAAGATACCCATTGGAGCACATGGGCATTTTGGAGAAAAATCAGGCTGGCTGTGTTGTCAGGCTGGGAAACACTGGGCAGGGGCTGGCTGTGTCAGATGAGGTGGCCAAGGCGGCCCTCACCATAAGTTAGAACATTTGAGCAGAGGCCTGAAGGAAGTGAGGAATCTGGCCACATGGTACCCGGGAGAAGAGCATTCCAGACAGAGGGAACCTTGATGCAGACGCTGAGGCAGGAACATGGCCAATGCATCCGAGGGGAAGCGGAGGCAACAGGCCAGAGAACCAGGGCCAGATGTTGGGGAGGTTGGGCCTGGGCCCTTGCAAGGACTCTGGCTTTTACACTGGGCAGGAAGGGCGGCATCTTAGGGTTTTTTGGGGTTTTTTGAACATTTCTTTTTATTGAGTTATAGTCAGTTTACAATGTCGTGCCTGCATCATAGGGTTTTGAGCGCAGTCACATGGCCTGACTTATATCTTAAAGGGTCACTGTAGCTGCCAAGTTGAGAACATAGGAGGCAAGTATAAACCAGGAGACCAGTCAGACCGGCCTCCAAAGCAGGGATAACGTGACTTGGAGCTGGGCTGGGGGTAGAGGTGGGGAAGGGGTCCGAGTCCAGATTTGAATTTGAAGGCAGAGTTAATGGATGTGCTGATCAGCTGGGTGTGGCATGTGAGGTGGGTTGGACCCGATGGCTCCGAACATGGGGCTGAGCACTGAGTGGCCAGGTGTGGGCGACTGCTGGGGCCCAGGGGCAGGGCCTCAGGGACCAGGTCCTGGAGAGGTTGCAGTCCTGTGGGACATCTGGGAGGAGGTGCTGCATAGGTGGCTGGATGAGAGCAGGTCTGGGGGGCTTATTAGCACATAGGTGATATGTAAAGCCCAAGACTGGGTGAGGGCCCCACAGGAGTGGGTGTCACTACAAAGGAGGTTCAGGGCTGATCCCTGGGTCCTCAGGGAGAGGATGAGGCTGAGGAGCTGCCCGTGTGGGAGAAGCAATCCAGGAGAGAGGGTGCCTCCGGCTGAATGGAGAGAGACTTTCAAGGGGGAGGGAGAGACCCCTTGGGTTACCTGCTACCAAGAAGCTGAGTGAGATGATGGCTGAGAACAGGCTGGTGGGGCTTTGCAAGGGAGGCTTTGAGAGGGGGCGGGGCAGGTTCTAGAGAGAAAGGGGGCACAGAAACCGTTGCTCTGTTGGGGTCCCTGGCTCTGAACCCTTGGCCACCCCGCCAGGTGCTGCTTGTGCCCCGCAAGGCCCCGGTTTGCTCCTGGAGTTACCATTGAGGAAGACAACTGCTGTGGCTGCAACGCCATTGCCATCCGGCGCCACTTCCTGGACGAGAACATGACCGCGGTGGACATTGTCTATACCTCCTGCCACGATGCGGTGAGGGGCCAGGGCGGGCTGGGCCAGGCTGGTATGTGGCATCCCCCAGCCTTGCAGGCTGCAGGGGGCAGGCGGGGCTGGGGCCTGGGGTGTCCATGCTGTCCCCCGGCAGCATGAGCCGGTGCTTGGCTGGCATGGCCGGTGACAGCCTCCAGGCCTTCCCTGGCTGGGCAGACCAGAGATGGGCTCCCTCCTCCACACATCCTGGCCTGCACCCGCTCTGGGGCTAGGAAGTGGACCCCAACCCCACACCCAGTGTTGAGGCTTCCTGGCCCCAGCCTTTCGGGGAA